GAAATTTCATACCAGCAGGCACCTCCATTTAAAAACCAAGCAAAAACAAGCTTTCCCCTAATTGTAACCACAATTCTACCTTAATAATTCTCAGGTCCTTGGTTAGGATGTGAATTATTAGGCCTCTACCCGCCTTAGACTGGGAATGGAATTGTAAATTGCAATACTACTAATAAAAGACTATGGTGAAAGATGCTGGATTTGGCCTCCGCACAAAAAAAAAATATGCAACTTTTTTGGTTACTTTGTAAAAATGTTTTTATTTGTATCTTTTTTTGTGTGTGTGTATGTCTTTACAACAATAAAATATTGCATCAATATAAACCCCTTGACTAAAAGTGGTTGACAATCAAACATCACAAGCGAATCTCTCTTTTTGTTGTTGCTGTTGTTGAATTTATTTTGCTTTAAGCCTTCCTTCCCTCCACGACAGACAATCGCTTCGGGGTATTCTTATTTTTTTTTATTGATTTTTATTACTTTTTTTTAAACATAATGCGGAATTTATTGAAAATAAATAATTGTCGGCAATTGCAATAGGCAATTTGGAATAAAATAGTTGAAAAAGCAACCTTTAATGAAAATAGCGTTTATTATACCTCAGTTACTAAATGAATAATCTAAATGATTTTTTTTCCCTTTTAAATTAATAACTTCCCAAAAAACGTTTAGAATATACAAAACTGTACAAGGGTGGTTTTTTTTTTTTTTGTTCTTTTTAATAATTATTTAATATAAAGTTGGCAGAAAGATAGCGGGGGTTTCTTCCCTGCTGAGTCTTTAAAAGCATATTCAGAATTCCCGTGGAGCATTTCTGTGGGTCGTGGGAGGAGACACAATATAAAGAAAATAAAAATAAAATAGCCTCGCGCACAGAAAAAGTGGGAAAAATGAATTTGGACAATCCATCCTTGTGAGGAATGGATTTCTAAAAAGGGAAATTAAGGTCGGGGGAACTTTTTTTTAAAAAAAATTTAAATTTAAAAAGGCCCATCCGAGGGGCGCGGAAGGGGGGGGGGGAAAGCATTTTCTGGATTTTAGGATCGCTCCCAGATTCCCAGACTGGCAGCGCGTCTCTCGTCTACTTTGCCATGCACGTGGAAAAACAATGCACGGGAGATTCAAACCTCTGTGTGGTTCTGCTTTGCCGGTAACAAGGGATGTGTGTGTGTCTATCTCTTACACGCACCTGCACACACACATCTGGTGGTTCCGTGTAGGTAGAGACGGCAGACAATACACCAGAGGTCTGAGGATGTGCGTGCAAACTCTCCTAACCACGCTTTTCTAAACGCACCCATAAAATTATATCGACCAATCCCGCAGAACCCAGATTCATTCTTTTCTTTAAGGAAAGAAATTTCTCAGCCAAACGATCTCTGCTCAATTCCTTTCCTCGGGGAGGCCCGGGATTAAACCCTAACAATTCAACAAAATCCTTTTGGATCACACAAGACATTTCCCCCCTCCCCAACAGTTAATCAAACGATCCCGGATTGGGGAATCTATTCCCCCCCACTCCCCCACGCCCCAATTTTTTCCTGCTTCTCTTGGACTTTCCGTCTCTGGCTCATCTTTATTTCCTTAATTTTCAACCCCAGCCGTATTCCCTCCGGCTCCCGAAATGCAAGGCAGGCAAGAAGGAGTTATTCCGAAGCGAAAGATCCGAATTGGAGAACGGGAAAAGGGTTTAAAGTACAGACCGTAAGCTTCAGGTGCCGGTCAGGGAGGGATCCAGTCGAAGAGCCATTAAAAAAAAAAAAAAGACCAAGAAAAGCTGGCTTTCCATTTTAGGAGGATCCTGGCCTTTTGGAATTATTATTATTATTTAAATAAATCTGTGTCGAGAGGGCCAAAAGCAGAAAAGGAGACTGCGAGCGAAGCCGAGGGAGAAGGAGGAGAGTTTCCCCCTCCCTTTAGAAAATGTCCGTTTTGACATTGTACAATTCGGAACGTGGTTCAGCCAGAAGGGAAAGGCAACAAAACACGCCGGAGTCGCTTCGCGTTTCGGTCTTTGGGGTTTAAAAATATATATATATTATAATAATTAAAAAAAAAAAAATCCACAAGAGCTCCAGTTTGGTTTTCCTCCTGCTGAGGAATGGGGAAATTCCGGACTCCACTTTTTCTCCACGGTGAGGGATCTGTGGGGGGGGGGGGGGGGGGGGCGGGGGGGAGGAGAGGGGGGAGGCCGGGAAACAAAGGCGGGATCCTAGATGGAGGACACCCTTCGCGGACCTTCAGAAGGCCGCCAGAGCGAAGGGTCATTTTTTTTTAGCAACGAGCAAAGTCCAGCCAAGCTTTTTTTTTTTCTTAAAAAAAAGTCTGTCTTAAAACGAGATTCGTCACCTGAAATACACCGGATCGGACCAAGGCGCTGAAAGGTTATTCGTAGGCACGTCTTGTCTTGTCTCTTTCTTTCTTTCTTTCTTTCTTTCTTTCTTTCTTTCTTTCTTTCTTTCTTTCTTTCTTTCTTTCTTTCTTTCTTTCTCGGATATAGAGATCACGATTTCCCTCTTTCTATCGGCGATGGGGCGAGGGGGGAAGCTTTGCCATTTAAGCACAGAAAATCGGCGCTGGGAGAGGGGCAAAAAATTACATTATAGCGGGGGGTGGGGGAAAGACCGGTGGGTGGGTGGGGGAGAGCTCGCTGGCTTCCCACGCCCTCCCCCCTTTTCCTACCGCTTTTCTGTTGCTGGGCTTGTGAAGATGCGACGGCAAGAAAGAAGAACAGTGTCTCTTTTTTTTCTTCCTTTCTTCAGGAGGTGGTGGTGTAGTCTATATCGTGGAAGATGCTGCTGAAAATCCTGGTGGGAAGGAGGGAAGGAATAGAAAGGAAGGAAGGAAGGAAAGAAAAATAGAAAGGAGGGAAGAATAGAAAGGAGGGAAGGAAGAATAGAAAGGAAGGACGGAAGAATAGGAAGGAAGGAAGGAAGGAAGGAAGGAAGGAAGGAAGGAAGGAAAAATAGAAAGGAGGAAGGAATTTTAGAAAGGAGGGAAGGAAGAAATAGAAATGAGGAAAGGAAGGAAAAACAGAAAGGAAAAATAGAAAGGAGGGAGGGAAGGAAGGAAGAATAGAAAAGAGGGAAGGAAGGAAGAAGAGAAAGGAGGGAAGGAAGAAACAGAAAGGAGGAAAGGAAGGAAAAACAGAAAGGAGGGAGGGAGGGAAGGAAGAATAGAAAGGAGGGAAGGAATTAATACCAAGGAGGAAAGGAAGGAAAAACAAAAAGGAAAAATAGAAAGGAGGGAGGAATGGAGGGAAAGAAGGAAGAAGAGAAAGGAGGGAAGGAAGGAAGAAGAGAAAGGAGGGAAGAAAGAAAGAAATAGAAAGGAGGAAAGGAAGGAAAAACAGAAAGGAAAAACAGAAAGTGTGAATGAGGGAAGGAAGGAAGAATAGAAAGGAGGAAAGGAAGGAAGAACAGAAGGGAGTGAGTGAGTGAGGAAGGAAGGAAGGAAGAATAGAAAGGAGGGAAGGAAGGAAGAATAGAAGGGAGTGAGTGAGTGAGTGAGTGAGTGAGGAAGAAAGGAAGGAAGGAAGGAAGGAAGGAAGGAAGGAAGGAAGGGAAGGGAAGGGAAGGGAAGGGAAGGGAAGGGAAGGGACAACGCCGTGAGGTCAACCCCCGCCCGCCCGCGCGCCCGTCCGGCTGGGTGCGCCGTTCCCCGGGTCCTGAGCGGGTGGGTCACAGTCAAAGGTCGTGACACGAGGCGTCCGTTTTGCCGCCGTGCGCGTAGACTTCGTGGGGTTGCGGCGGCTCGCCCGGCGGCGTCATGCGCTTCTCTTTCTGCCGCCGGTTGCAGAACCAGACGCGCACCACCTCCTTCTCCAGCTGCAGGCTGTCGGCCAGCGAGGAGATCTCCTGAGCGGCCGGCTTGGGGCATTTCAAGAAGTGGGTCTCCAAGACCCCTTTGACGCTGACCTCGATGGAAGTCCGCTTCTTGCGCTTGCGGCCCTGCGCCGCGATCTTGTCGATGCTGGTGGGGCTGCCGGTGGACGAGTCGGCCTCCTCCAGCCACTTGTTCAGCAGCGGCTTCAGCTTGCACATGTTCTTGAAGCTCAGCTGGAGGGCCTCGAAGCGGCAGATGGTGGTCTGCGAGAAGACGTTGCCGTAGAGGGTGCCCAGCGCCAGCCCCACGTCGGCCTGGGTGAAGCCCAGCTTGATCCGGCGTTGCTTAAACTGCTTGGCGAACTGCTCCAGCTCGTCCGAGGTGGGCGTCTCTTCGTCCGAATGCTCCGGGCAGTGATGGGAAGCCAACTCGGTGGGCTCCGCCGGGGAATCCCGCAGCACCGGGTGAAGCCCCGGAGGAGGAAGAGGAGGAGGAGGAGGAGGAGGAGGCGCAGCGGCGGGTGGAGGCGTTAAACCCCCGCCGTGGTCCAGCATGCCGCTGACGGTGAAGCCGGCCTGCGAGTAAACGTTGAGCGGCGGCGGAGGCGGCGGGGGTTGGCCTCCGCTGACCGGCAAAGCCGAGCCGTGAGCCGGGGTGGCTCCCCAAGCGTTGGGGTGGCTGGCATGGTGCGGGGAGTGATGGCTGACGTGATGGGGCGAGCGGTGGTGCAGGATGGCGCCCAGCTGCAAGTCTTCTCGCCCGGGTTTCACGTCGGGCTGGTCCAGGGAGCTTCCACCACCACCACCTCCTCCTCCTCCACCACCTCCTCCGCCGCCACCGCCGCTCAGAGCCGCCGCCCATGGCCCCGCGTCGCTCAAGCTGGTGACCCAGTGATGGCCCAGCGGATGCCCGTTGCCGGCCACCCCTTGCAAATAGTCACTTTGCAGAAGTTTCTGCGGGTTGCGGAATGGGCCGCCTTGCTGCATCGCCACCGAGTCCGCATGGACCAAAGCGCCGGAGTTGAGGATGCTGTAAGGGTTGGTGGCCGCCGTAGCCATCCTTGGGCTCTCGCGCTTCGTTTTGCGTGGCTTCGGGCTTCAGGCTTTGGCTAGGCTAGGCTAGGCTAGGCTAAGGCTGGCTCCGGGTCTCTCTCTCCCCCCCTCCCCCTCCCCGCCTTGGATGTGGCGAAGCGGCCGCTCGCTCGAGCCTTTGACAGTTTACCCAGCCGAAAGAGAAAGCCGACTCAGCCAGCGCTCTCTGACCGGCGTTACCGGCGCCCAATCCGACAGGCTCTTCCCGCCGGGAAAGGCAAGCCGTGGCCAATGATGGAGCGCCGAAGAGGTTGGCTCCACGCCAGGCTCCCCCCTTCCCTCCTCCTCCGCCCGCCTCCCAGGGAAAAAAAAAGAAAAAAGAAAGAAAGAAAGAGGAGGGGAAAAAAGGAGGGGGGGACCCGAAGGAGCGCTGGCGGGCGAAGGGTTAAAACGAGGGAGTCGACCGGCAGGAAGTGCCTCCGTCCGGCCTCTTCATTGGCTGGCGCCCGAGGGCTGCCCGAGGGTCGTCGGTGGGGTTAACCCTTGCTTGGCCAGCTGGCTCTTCTTGGAAAGAGGGGAGTGGGAGTGGAGGAAGGAGAGGAGAGGAAGGCTCGGAGCCCGGTTTGAATTCGCAGCCATTGAGTCAGGGCAAAAAAAAAAAAAAAGGCGCGCGGGGGTCTTCTCTCCCCTCCCCGCCTCTCCTTCCCCGGGACGTGCGGGGCTGGGTGGGGAGGGGGCGCGTGGAGAGGTTAAATACCTGCTCCCGAGAGCGCCAGCGCCTCCTTTGCCAAGCTGAAGGTGGAGACCCTTCTCAATGGCTTGAAGTCTAGGTCTAGGCAGGGGTGTCAGCAAAGGATAGACCCCCGGTGGGTTTACTCTACGGGGTGGGATTTATTCTTGCAAAGCCAACAGGTTGGGTGAAAAAATGGGGGGTGGGTGGGCTGGTGGTCTAGCAGAGAATTTTTTTTAAAAAAAGAAAAAACGCGTCCCCGAATAACCAGGCACTCAGGAAGTTTGCAAAGTTGTGCCTTACCAAGAAAGGAGGAGGAGAGAAGGAGGAGAGAGGGGTGGGGGGGGAGGTGGGAGAGCCTTGCGTGCCTTACACAGATTCCTAGCTCGTGGGAATCGGAGTGCGTTGCCCACTCGTGCCAAGGGAGGGAAAAGGCACCAAAGACAGTAGCTGAGAAGAGTTGGCTGAGTAATCCGGAGCCAACTTCTCCCTCTGCTTCAAATATAAACCGTTTCTCTCATTTTTTAGGGGGTGGGGGTGACAAGGGGAGATAAAAGTTTGCTCCCGATGGAAGCTGGATCCTCTCCATCCCGCCTCCACCCACCCACCACCCCTCTTCAAGTGGGGCAGGGAGCTTTCCTACCCCTCTCCCCCGCCGCCCCACACCTTTTTCCAGCTTTCAAAGAAAAAGCTCACCTATCTGGGAAAAGCGGCCGGCGCAAGATTGCTTTGCGCGCACCGAGAGTTCCCCCCCCACCTCCCGGCCTAGGATTACACGCGAGCGGTTATCGCGCCTTTTTGTTTTGTCGGGGTCATTCCAAATACGGCGCAACCCCCTGCGCGCCCTCCCGCCCTGCGCACGGAGGAACTGGCCAATGGAAACCGTCCGAAAAGTAGCCACTCACCGGATTCCTTTCCAACTTCGACCGAAAAACCTGCGATCTTCCGTTCTTTTCTGCTCTCCAAATGTGGCTTTGCACCAAATGTCCAATTTTACATAAATCGAAAGGTCAGGAACAAAAACTGCAAAAAAAAAAAAAAAAAAAAAAAAGGGCAGAAGAAGATTACCGGTAGTAATCTTAGTAGTAACATTAGTAATTTAGTAGTAATCTTACTAGTAGTAGTAGCAGCAGCAGCAATAATAATAATAATAATAATAATAATAATAATAATAATAATAATAATAGCAGCAGCAGCTCTGGGTACAATTCTAAAACATCTGGAACATCACTTGAACACCACCGGCATTGACAAAATCACCATCAGTCAATTGCAAAACGGCAGTTTTCCCTGCAACAGCTTACATCATGCACCTACCAACCAAACAACGTCTGCCTATCCCAGGTCCTTTGCAAGGACTCGGTAGGTGGATAAAAATGCCAAAAAAACCAGTCTAAACATCTGGCTGACAGTGCGATTAACAAATATAATAAAATAATAAAAATGACATTGTGCTTTGTGTTTTCCCCCCATTCAAACATTCTGCAAAGGAACAGAAATTGCGATCTGTTGCGGTGCTCCAGCTGAGAAAAATTAAACCTTAATGCTTTGTGAGGAGGGAGGTAAGGGGGGGAGAGAAAGAGAAGCTAAAGAAATCTCTGACTTTTTTTTTTTTTTTTTGGTATTATTATTTTGAATGACCTTTCATTGCATAATTCCGAGGTAACCTTGCTGCGTAATTATATTTGCACTTACAGAACGCTGCATCACAGTTCCCTTATTGGTTTGAAATTCCATTAAATATATTACAGGAGCTCCCAGGTTAAGCTTGATTTAAATTTGCATACATTTTCATATATTTAGCAGAAATAAAAGAAGGCTAGCAGCTACCCCAAAGTCATTAAGGCAGTAAGTTCTCCAGGAAGACAGATCTGGAGTAAAATTCGGGAAAATGAAAATATCGCCCTAAACAAGGTGAGCTTCTTTTGCCCCCCCCAATCGTCCTTTCTCTCCCCCCCCCTTTGTGTGTTTTGTATGTGTTTAATCTGAACGCTCTTTTTTCGTTCCCTATTGGTTTATTGTTTTAAACTTGGGGCAAAATAACAGACTAATACAATTTCTTGGCCACGTTTCAGAGACGAGGTCAGCGGACAGGTGTTTCTGGAGATAAAAAGGCAGGTGGTTGCTTTTAGTTTGGATTCGAAGTTTGCAGTAAAAGGACATTAGACCGACAGGCGATATAGACGAATAGAAGGATAGACAGATGGGTGATAGATAGATAGATAGATAGATAGATAGATAGATAGATAGATAGATAGATAGATAGATAGATAGATAGATAGATTTCGCTTTGGCCAAACTTGATTTTTTGCTTTGGTCAATTCGCACTAACGCGGTCGTGGGTTTGCATTCGGGATCCACCTGCAGCTGTTGCACGCGAGGCTTTTTCACTGCAGACGTGGGGAAAAATCCTGTTCTACGTTCCCACGGCCCCACTAGAATCCGTAAAAGGGGGAGGTGGGCAGAGAAAACCGGCTGAAGTGGTTGGTGTCCGCGCGTGTGGTGGTGGGGATCCACCTTCCCAAAATAGGGCTGCCTTTCCTTTGGGGTGGGAGGAAAACGCGCCTATCCAAGAAAGGAGGTTTTTGTGTGTGTGTGTGGGTGAGAAAGCCGACAGGAAGACTGAAAGGGATCCTATCCGGCCTGGCATTGCCAATGGAGCCCCGCTCTCTTCCCAACCATTTCCGCCGAAGGTTGGGCGCAGGCAGGAACCAAGCCGTCGCCCTGCTTAGAGATAGGAGCGTAGCTCCTCGCGAGCCCTTCGGCCCCCAGGGTCCCCCCCCACTCCTCCTCCAGTCGCAAAGTTGTTAAAAACAGAAATCTACAGGGTCTTAAAAAGCCGACCTTGCCCTCCACGGATCGAGCGCAAAGACGGCGCGGGTCGTTCTCGCTATCCTTCCCCCACTATACCCTCCCCGGCTCGAAGTTACCCGGGCTTGGCCCAAATCAGCCTCCCGAGTCCCGATCCCCCGGTGACCGACCGGGATTGGGCTCTTCGTTTCGGCTCAAACGGCCCGCGCGCCCCGAGGCCTGTCCGACGGGTCGCTTGGAAGGGTTGAAGGATCGCAGGGGTGAGAGAGAATAGAGAGAGGGGAGGAGAGGGAGAAGCTCTTCCTTAGAACTTCGGAGTGGACTTTCGTCCTTTAGATTGTCTCTCGGCCCGAGAAACAGCGACAACCAAAGCCGCCTTAACCCTTCAAGTCTAAAATCCGCTCGGAATGAGCTGATGGGCTTGGGTGCAAAGAGTAAGAATCGGGCCCTGCTCTCCAGAAGAGGCCTTGAGTATTCAAGCACCCCCCCCAGGGTAATCCCCCCCACCCCCCCACCCCCCCACCAAGCCAAATCGCCACCCTATCTTCTTTTTTCAAACCTAGGCGCAAAATCTCTAGGCGATTTATTTGTCTCTCTGCATGTGTGTTCTTTGCCCTTTCCTACTTTCAGTTCCCCAGATTTCAACACACACACACCCATGCCCACACACGCGCGCGCACACACACACACAGGCACGCACACACGCCCACCCTATCTGCCTGGAGCTGAATTCCCCCTCCCCGTTTTTTTTTTCTTCTTCTTTTTTCTTTCCCCCCCTTTGCATCTAAAGCTGCTCGAGTGGGTCTCTTTAGCTTTACCCTGTCAGTCTAACTTCCCGAGTGTAACAGATGCTGTACTCGGGCGCCCTTTTCTGCGGGTCTCTTCTATTCAGCCTCGCATAGTTCGCCCCCTGATCCGGGTTTCCATAGAGAGGGGCATAAAAGGGAGGCCAGAATAGCGAATGCGTTGCCCCATGCGGAATAAAAGGACCTCATTCAATAGGCCGACCCCGTCTCAAGGCGAGAGAAGAGAGGGGGGGAGGAGAGGAAAAGAGAGAGAGGGAAAAAGAGAGAGATACAGTGAGAGATTAGAGAGAGAGAGAGAGGAAGAAAGAGTTGAGAGAAAGATACAGTGAGAGATTAGAGAAAGAGAGAGGGAGAGAAAGAAAGAGTTGAGAGAAAGAGATACAGAGAGAGTGGGAGAGTAAGGAAGAGTTGAGAGAAAAAGATACAGAGAGAGAGAGAGATACAGAGAAAAAGAGATACAGAGAGATATACAGAGAGAGAGAGAGAGAGAGAGACGGCGGTGGTGGGCGGGAGAGATTTCCTTTTCCAAGGGCGAACAGCGTAACTGTTGCAAGAATCCTCGGCGACTTATTTTTCGTGAGCTCCGGACGAGACACTGCTTGTCCTTTAAGTCTTTATTTAGAAGAAGAAGAAGGGATTTATATATATATATATATATATATCGAGAGCCAATCTATGGAATCTATAAAATCGATTCGCTGTTTTTTTGCAACGCGTTCTATTTTTTTGTTTTTTTTAAAAAAGCCGGTCGTTTCCCTGGGACTTTCTCTCTACACGCCCCCCCCCTCACATTGCCCCCGCTCGCCGTCCTCAAGGGATGAGTTTACTATCACACTTTCCCGCCCGCGTACCCCCACCCACCCACCTACCCTCCCCACCCTCGGCTGAATGAAGCCAACGTGGAACCAAAGGCAGAGAAAAGGCGCGCTGAGTTGGGAAGCCCAAAACCGAGGCAGCGAAGGCTTTGCCATAAATCTCTCCTTCTCAGCCAGCACGCTTAACCAAGCCTGTGCGAAATAAATAAATAAATAAATAAATAAATAAATAAATAAATAAATAAATAAATAAAACCAATCAATCAATCAATACCAGCCGCCATCGGAGAGCTCCGTGATAACTTTGCATTAATAGTGGTGCGCGCGATGTGGGGTTGGGGGGGGGTGGATTAAGAAAGGACAGCCACCCGCGAGTAAAACGCTCCACCCAGAACTGGGAAAGTCCGCGGAGGCTTAACGGACCCCTTTCCCGGCACGTTTCCAAGCGAGGAAGCCCGCGGAAGGCCGGTGGGGCTGAGTTGGGAGGGCTAGGACTACCGCGCGCGTGGGTCCGTGGTTGCCACCTTCCCCCACCGACGCGTCCTTTTTGGAGGCCTGCGCAGCGTGGGGGGCCGCGATCCGGAGAATTGGTGCATCTTTTTTCAGCGCCGGGCAGGTTAAATTTGTGGGAGATCAGAGGCAGCTTCTGGAGATCGCAGACTGGTATGTACACACCTCTGATAGAGTGCGTGGGAGAGAGGGAGGGAGGGAGAAAGAGAGGGAGGGAGGGAGAGGGAGGGAGGGAGCGGGAGAGAGAGAGGGAGAAGAGAGAGGGGGAGAGAGAGGGAGGGAGAGGGAGAAGGAGAGAGGGGAGAGGGAGGGAGAGGGAGAAGGAGAAGGACAGAGAGGGGAGAAGGGGAGGAAGAGGGAGGGAGAGAGAGGGAGGGAGAGAGGGAGAAGGAGAGGGGGAGAGAGAGGGAGGGAGAGGGAGAAGGAGAGAGGGGGAGAGAGAGGGAGGGAGAGGGAGAAGGAGAAGGACAGAGAGGGGGGAAGGGGAGGAAGAGGGAGGGAGAGAGAGGGAGAGAGAGATGGAGAAGGAGAGAGGGGGAGGAAGGGAGGGGGAGGGAGAGAGAGGGAGGGAGAGGGAGAAGGAGAAGGACAGAGGGGGGAAGGAGAGGAAGAGGGAGGGAGAGAGAGAAGGAGGAGAGAGGGGGAGGGAGAGAGGGGGAGGGAGAAGGAGAAAGAGAGAGGGACAGAGAGAGGGAAGGAGGGAGGAAGGGAGGGAGGGAGAGGGAGGGGGAGGTAGGGAGAGAAGGGGAGAGAGAGGGAGAAGGAGAAAGAGAGAGGGAGAGAAAGAGAGAGAGGGAGGGAGGGAGGGAGGGAGAGAGATAAGGTTTCTTTGCTGAATTGGTGTGTGCCGCCTTTTGCCAGCTCTTTCAAGGCGGCGTGCAGACGTACAAGCCCAAGGTTGCCGCGAATTTGAGGGAAGGGGCCCTACTGGATTTATTTCACAAATTAAACCTGCATTTAAGGTGTGCAGAGAGAGTCAGGAAGCGAAAGAAAAGGGGGCGAGGTTCGCAGACGCACTCGTACAGTAGGGTACTAAGAAAAAACGGGCGTCCTGGGCGAGTCACTTCCTTCCTTCCTTCCTTCCTTCCTTCCTTCCTTCCTTCCTTCCTTCCTTCCTTCCTTCCTTCCTTCCTTCTCCTTCCTTCCTTCCTTCCTTCCTTCCTTCCTCTCGTGGAAGGGGGGAAGAAGGGGAGAGCCCAACAGGAGCAAACTGGAGCTACGTTCTCCCCTACTCTCCGTCCGGGGCTACAGGGAGAAAGGGAGAAAAAACCCACCCCCTCCCTCTTTCTCCCCCCCCCCACCCCCCGCGTTGCAGACTGGATGGGGCGCAATTCTAAATTGCAACTTCTTCAGAGGCGGCTCAATGGCAAGAAAAGAGGCTGGGGGTTGGGGGAGGACAGAAAAGAACTTTTATTTTCTCCTCTTTAACCCCTGCTGGCTGCGGTTTTTGACTGTGTTAAATACGGCATGAAGATCCCGGCGTGGTGGACGGGCGGTGGGGGGGTGTGGGGGGCGGTAGCCGGGCGAGGTTGCGACCTCTGTCAAGAAAACTTCACCTGTTCGGCCCAAGTTCACTGAAAGAGGCGAAGGAATTTCTCGGTGGTGGGGAAAATGCAAGTAATAACAACAACATCAATAATGAGTGGCAGTGCTTGGAGGAAGAGAAGAGAAAGAAGTACAGAAGATAACGAAATGCAAAGACCTGAGAAGATAGTACCGATAGGAAGAGAGGCGCCTTGGGTGCCATCCCAAAAACAACTGGAGCACTCCTTGGACATTATCGCCACTGACAAATTCACCAACAGTCAATTGCAAAAGGCAATTTTACTTGGAACAGCTTACATCCGGCTGACAATATTTGTCACGTCAGCAAACATCCACATCTGGATATCCTGGGTCCTTGGGAAGGAGTCTGACAGGTGGACAAAAATGCCAAATCCAGTCTGAATCTCTCTGCCTGACTGGGGCGAGG